AATGGCGTAGTTAGGTCACTGAAATAGTTCAGACATGCTGTTTGTTGTATCAAATGCAGTCACACAATGTGACAACAGTTTTATCTTGGTTGTGTTCAGGTAAATTGTTTCCTTGATAAAACATATCATGATCAGGAATACTCATGGAGAAACTCCACTAGTTTGAGGAAAAATTCAACTTTCTCATCTTTCAACTTTTGAATTGGCTGATGATGATAGAACATTTTGTTTTGATTTAAGGCAAATGCAATTAATCACTCCCCAACTAAATTACTGGTCAGGACACCAAGGACACTCTGCCAGCTCTTCTTTTAAAATAGCACAATAATATCTTTTACATCACTTGAGAAGGCAGACAGGTCCTCAGTTAAATGTTTTGACCCAAAGATGCTATCTCTGATTTGGGTTGAGAAATAAATATTGGCTAACATCCTGGATGAACTCTTGTGTTCTTCAACAAATACTGTGAGAGCTTTTAAACTAACCTGGACAGGAAGCTGGCCCCTGTTTAGCATTCTCATTCAACAGAAAATGCAAACAATATGCCTGTAATATTGCACAGGTACATTAGTCTAGATTATGTGCACAAAGTTCTGGAGTGGATCTCGAACTTTGGACTCAAAGACAATACTCATCTACTGAGAAGTAGCTGGCAAATGATTATTAAATAAAATATGATAAACTGTCTACATTTGGCAGAAGTTAAATATTTACTGAAAATACCTGTAACATACTAGTCAGCAATATAGTTTATGTAATATAGTTAAAGAAATATGGCTGAAATATTGTATCATACTGAATTGTGCTGTCAGTACAAAAACAGGTCATTTGATCCTTCTACTTTATGCCTGCATTTGTGTTCCACATAAAACTCTCCCTGCTTCATCCAACCTTATCAGAATTCCTTCTATTCTTTTCTGTCTCATAGGCTTACCTACATTTAAATGGGAAAATGTAGCTCCCTTAAAAGTTAAAAGGCAAGTACGATGCCCACTGTGCACCTAACACATGGTGATCAGGGAGGTCCTATTTTTGATTGTTGAAATTAGTTGATTTGCCTAGGGGTTACGAATTGAAACAGGGGACACAGTTGAGATTTCTGCTCATTTGCTATTCAGCACTCTCTGGCATGCACTGATACACAGATACCAGCTAAACAACTTGCATTTAGATAGCACCTTTAACAGTTTAATTTTCCAGGATGATAAAATGAAGCCCATCTCGCCCAATACTGTCTCATCCCAACACTTAAAATATCTACAAGAATTGTCTAGGTGGACATATGAAGAATGGTCAATAAGATGGGTGCTCTGGGAGAAAAAGAGACAACAAAAGGGCTTTACCAAATTTTTACATCAAAATGACTTTCAGGCACTTGTTGCTGCTACTCTAAGCTGCCATGAACATGTTTAAATACAAGTGAAAACAGAAGGGATGCTACTGAACATTGAGATTAATGACTAGTTAGGTGTATTTCCCTTTTAAATGGAGCTGACCATATGCAGTGTTTGAAGAATTTTCTCTTCAACATCACACTCCCCTGTGGATTGTGCACACTGCACAAAATAGCTGCAGAGGCCACAATATCTCTGCTCCATCAAGCAACCGCCTTTGAGGAATGCAGTTTACATTTTAATCATTCATTTGGCAATAGTTCAAGGCTTTACTCAGCATTTTCTTCGGTACTGGTGCTGGGATAGAGCTGTTGTTATTAAGAGGATCAAATTCTCTTTGGTTAGTTTTTAAGTAGCGACCTGCCCATTTCTGAGACAAAGAAATGAAATTGCAATTTAGCATGTGCTGTTTCTACTCCCCCCAGAACTCAGTTTCTTCATTGCATTACCAAGAAAAAAATACTATTCCTCATGCATTTCCTTCCTTTATTCACAAGAGTTGTTTGCCTACATTAAGAATTTCTCAATCAATTTGCTCTAGAATACCAAGAGGGGCAGAGGAATTAAGTGACCTTAGAGTGAATGTCCACAGATCACTAAAGGTAGCACGGCAGGTTGATAAAGTGGTTAAGATGACATAGAATTAGAATTCTTTGCGGAAGAAATGAGCAAGTTAGAGAAAAGAGAGCTAGTGGATATGATCTATTTGAATTTCCAGAAGACCTTTGATAAGGTGCTACATAGGAAGTTGCTGAATAAGAGCCCATGGTGTTCTGAGGAAGGGTCACCAGACCCAAAACGTTAACTCTGATTTTTTTCTTCACAGATGATGTCAGACCTGCTGAGCTTTTCCAACAACTTGTTTTTGTTTCTGATTTACAGTATCCACAGTTCTTTTGGTTTTTCCTTAAATAAAGGATTGGCTGACTGACAGAAGGCAGAAAGTGGGGATAAATGTGTCTTTTTCAGGATGGCAGCTGCTGATTAGTGGAATTCTGCAGGGGTCCATGTTGGGACCACAACAATTCAGGTTATACATTAATGATTTGGATAAAGGAACCGAGGGCATTGTTGTTAAATCTGCAGATTACACAAAGATAGGTGGAGGGACAGGTAGTGTTGAGGAAGTGAGGAGGCTGCAAAAGGACTTGGACAGCCGAGGAGAGTAGGCAAAGTGGCTGATAGAATATAATACAGGAAAATGTGAAGTTATGCACTTTGGTAGGAAGAATAGAGGCATAAACTATTTCCAAATGGGGAAAGGCTTTGGCGATCTAAAGCACAAAGGAACTTTGGAGTCGTGGTTGAGGATTCTCTTAAGGTTAACGTGGAGGTTCAGTTGGCAGTTAGGAAGGCAAATGCAAAGTTCGCATTCATTTCAAAAGGGCTAGAATACAACAGCAGAAAAGTATTGCTGGGGTTGTATAAGGGCCTGGTCAGACTGCATTTGGAATATTGTGAGCAGTTATGGGCCCTGAATCTAAGGAAGTTCTGAGTTCAGCAGAATGGAGGCGGGGGGAGGTGGTGGTGGGGAGGGAAGTTGAGGAAATCTATTGAGGTACATAAAATGTTGAAGGGGATAAGGTGGACATTGAATAAATGTTCCCCCTGGTGGGACAGTTTGAACAAGAGGTCACAGATTTGAATGTGAGGAAGTAGGTTTAAAACTGAGATGAACAGTGCAAACTGAGTGCAGTGGAGGCAGAATCGATCAACAGACTCGAGAAAGAAGTAGCTATGTTTCTGATGAAAAGTGGGATAAAGGGCTACAGGAAGCAGATAGGAAAGTGGAATTGAGATTAGGATAAGATCAGCCATGATTACGTTAAATGGCAGACTGGGCTTAAAGGGCTGAATTGCTTACTCCAGTTCCTAATTCTTAAAAAGGATGGGCTAGTGTTGGAGGGGGTCCACAGGAGGTTTTACAGAGTGATCACAGGGCTGAAAGGTTGTCTTGTGAGAAACGGTTAAGGACTCAGTGGAGTTTAGAAGGATGAGGGGGGTATCTATTGAGATATATAAAATGCTAAAGAGGATTGATAAGGTGGACACTGCATAGATGTTAACCCTTGTCGGACAGTCTCGAACGAGAGGTAGGTTACAAACTGAGAGGAGTCGAAACTACTCAGTATTAGAGTTATACAATGTGGAAACAGACCCTTTGGTTCAACCAGTCCATGTCATGTTCCCAAACTAAACTAGTCCCACCTGCCTGCGTTTGGCCCATGACCCTCCAAACATTTCTTATTCATGAACTTATCCAAATGTCTTTTAAACATTACAACTCTCTCAAGAGGGTGATGAATCTGTGGAACTCATTGTAGCTGAAGGCTGTGGAAGCCAAATAATTTAGTGTTTTTAAGACAGAGATAGTTGGGTTCTTGATTAGAATTACAATTAGAATTAGCCTTTATTGTTACGTGCATGCAAATAAGTGCAGTGAAAGGTTTGTAACGTCACCTCTCGGCACCGTCTTAGGTACAGGGTACTTGAGCACTTATTACAGACTTGAAAGAATCATAAAAAGTAGTTCAGCATAAGAATTAGCAAGGGGATCAAAGATTACAGGGAGAAGAATGGGGTTGAGAAAGATATCAGTCATGATTGAATCGTGGAGCAGACTCGATGGGCCAAATGGCCTAATTCTATTCCTATGTCTAATGATCTTATATGGAAGATCCTTCATTAGCCCCGGTATAGAAAACAATTGTAGAGGGGTTATATTGGAACAGTACAAATCAATAACTGTGCCACAACTTGAGTACTATGTGCAGTTCTGGTCAGCTCATCATAGAAAGGATGTAATTAAACTAGAGAAGGTACAGGGGAAATTTATGAGCATGTTGCCAAGAGTGTAAAATTTATCTGTTAGGAAACGTTTCATAGGCTGGGACTGTTCTCCTTGGAACATATGAGGATGAAGGGAGTTTTGATTGAGATAGATCTGGATAAAGTGATGGAAAGGGCCTATTTTCTTTGGCAGAAAGATCAGTGACTAGGGATTTAAATAAACAAGTTCTTGACTCATTTAAAAGGTGTCTGGATATGCACTTCAGGTTCCATAACCTGTCAGGCTATGGATCAAATGACCTTTTTCTATGTCATAATCTATGAAATACTTTAACCCTTTTAACATGATATTTTGAGGGGGTGGCAGGGGTCATAATAGGACTCTTGCCACTTTGGTTCAGATGAAGTAACTCTGCAAAAGATGAGGAACTGAATTTGGAAACTTAAAACTTTGAGAGTCTGGCTATACATTGTGCAATTGACAAGCAACAATCGGGGAAATTGGCATCAAAATATCCTGCAACGGAATATTAACTTACAAATTCTTAATACAAAGTGTTAACATTTAAATCACCACTGATTTGTCCCAGATCTTTTACAGTAATTAGAGTACGACCATAACCAGTCGATTCCACAATACAAAATAGAATATGTACAATATATGTAGCAGCAGGTTACTTTGCCAGTGTTTTATTCCGCTTAAAGTGACAGGTCTTCAACATCTTGGAATGAAATATGTTAAAAGAAGTGATTTAATATAATTCGATCATTAAAATACTGAATTCTGTACATGATCAAATGAAGGAGGTCACAAACTTCCATGAGCAGTTGATGTCATTTATTTCACACCGACTCATACTTTACAGCAGTGTCCCCTTCATGCCTATCCCAGGAAAGCAGAGGTCAATTGTAGTGTGCCATTCCTGACCCCAAGTGAGTTACGGGATTGAATTTAGGAACATCCTTAGTCTGTGCTAGTAGGGGGAAGGCTAATGCACAAGAAGGCCAAGCCCATTATTAACTGCCTTAGAATGAACTCATGGTGCATTGGAGTAGTTGATAAAGATGTCCACATATTGACAGATCCTTCTAAACAAAAATCACCCCACATTTAGGGAAGTTTACATTATTTCTACTGAATTTAACTTTCTTCACAGAAAAAGGTGGTAACACTAGACAGGACCTTAAATGGTGCCATTAACAGTGAAGTGAGCCTACGAATGCTTGGGAATCAAGTATTCATAAATTTCTCGGTTATTTCTCATCACTATCTTTCCTGTGGTCTTTAGGGCTACACGTGTGATATTTAGCAGATAATGTGCTGTGTTTCCTGCCTGCTTTGGGTCACCACTCTCACAGTCCTGGTTGAGAAGTGACCCTTAAAGGTAAATCTCAGTTATTGTTGCAGTTTAGCACCTAATTTTCTAGTGCTAGGTCAAAACAGCTCATTTCTGAACAAGTGCAATTCTCTTTGAACAGGGTATCATACTCTACCCTGCATAGCCAAAGTACAACACCTCAACACACTCATAATTTATTCAAGGTTTCCATTCACTTCCTTCGAGTGGTCAACAGCCTATTCAATAATTATTTACAAATAGAATTCTATTTTGTTTATTTGAGAATTTTGTCACAAAAATAAATATTCTCTAGTTACATATGAATCAGACTCATGTTTCATACCTACCTTCAGTTTCTGTAAATCTATTTTAACCTTTAAAAAAATTTTTAAAAAGTGGTATCTAAAATTTTTAATTTTATTTTGGATAAAAATATGTTTGATCGCATTTTCTCCACTAGAGAGAGTAGACATGTAACCTGACAGAGCTCTTTAAACTTCAGGGTTAGATAGGGTAAATGTAGAAAATATTTTTCCATTTACAGATGAAATCAGAACTAAGGGCTATAAACATGAGATGGTCACTGATAAATCCTAAAGGGATTGGGGAGAAATTTATTTTGTCAGAGTGTGGCCAGAATGTGGAACTTGGCATGACAGGTAATACTTGAGGTGAATAGTATAGATGCATTTAAGGTAAAACTAGTTAAATGTAAGTGATAAAGTAACAGAAAGATATGTTGATAGGTAAGATGTAGGATTGTGAGATGCATGAATACCAGCAAGAGTCTGTTGAGCCAAATGGCCTGTTTCTTTGCTGTAAATACAATGCAATCAAGAGGTTCAGTATTGGCAGCAATTTCCAGCTTAGGAGATTCTAAGGGTATTCAGTGTGCATGAGTGAGAAAAGAGGAGGAGAATGTGAGATAGGGCCAGATAAAGGAAATAAAATAGAGGGCAATCTAGACCAAAAATACTAGTATACAACATCAAAAGGCCCAGAGAGATGTGAACTGCTGCTTAACGTGTCACGGCCAGAAAGTGACCAAACAAAACTTCATAATCGTATTCAAGTTTTCAGCTCCCTTGTTTGTAGTGGCTCCAAGCAAAGGATTATTCTCTTACCCTACTGATAAAGATAGCAAGAAGGGGTGGAGGTAGAAGCCAATAAACACAACAATCATCTACCTGCCAAGCTCCCCAAACAGTATTCAGTGAAAGGGGATATGGGGGTAGGGCAGTGGTATTGGAATATCAAAGACATGTGATTCTCCTCTGTATCAGAAGAGTGCTATTGGTGGAAAACATTGTGTGGCTTTTTCCCTCCCCACCTCCAAACTGCTCATATTTAATGGCTGGGCAGGAAGAGGTGGAATGCTACTTTACAAAGACAAACCTTTTCAAAAGAAAATGAAACAGACACTTCGCTTAAACAAAAGGAGAGTATTTTGCAGTTCACATATTGGTCCACTAGTGACATTAATAATGTCCAATAGAAGGACACAGGTAAGATGTCATTATCTCTTCATAAAGTTTAAACATGCAGCACTATACCAGGTTTCCTTCAATCCACTGAACTGTACAAAACAGCTACTGTGTATCAGTCCTTAGTTTTCATTACACTGTACTCAATGATTTAATTTATAATTAAGGTGGACATCAATTGTTTCACTTCATGATAAACAAGATCAGCTCCATATAGCGTTATAATAAATATAAACAAAAACCAGTCAACAACCAAAGCATCACAGGTCAGTTCAGAAACAGCGACATCCTAAATACCCAATGAGTCATTTTTACGGTTTAGAGAACTACATAACTTTTTTTACACTGCACGAAGACAATCAGCACCAAGGAGACAGCACAAAGCCAATAATTAAACAGTAAAAGGCCCAATGAACCCACCAAAATTAAACCTTGTGTTTAATGTAACTATAAAATTTTAAGAAGTGACTTTGACTCGAGCAGCTGTGATTTCCTTGGCTTTTTAATGTATCCTTTAGATGGTCATGATCTCCAGAATGCAGGATGCAAGTAACCCTTTGGCAGAGGAAAGTCTTTTTGCTTCAAGCAATTCTGAAATAGAACGATTAGAAAAATCAATATTAATTTCAAGCAAGGCACGTTTTTTTGAAAATTAATCTGAACAGTTACAAAATTACACCGTAGTCCAATCTTCATGGTCCTTTAGCCACCAGAAAGATGGGCAAGTGCTTTGAATGAATTACCCATAAATTTTATCGCAATCGAAGGCAAATGCCTCTTTTTAACAAAAGCAACTGAAAGAAAACTGCTGATAAGGCAAAGATAAAATTAAGAGTATCATAAAGGATTGTAATATGGAGTTTGAGAACACAGACAACTGACAGTCTCCTGTTCAGTGCATAGAGCATAGAACATTACAGCGCAGTACAGGCCCTTCAGCCCTCGATGTTGCGCCGACCTGTGAAACCAATCTGAAGCCCATCTAACTTAAACTATTCCATTATCATCCATATGTTTATCCAATGACCATTTAAATGCCCTTAAAGTGGGCGAGTCTACTATTTTTGCAGGCAGGGCATTCCATGCCCTTACTACTCTCTGAGTAAAGAACCTACCTCTGACATCTGTCCTATATCTATCACCCCTCAATTTAAAGCTATGTCCCCTCGTGCTAGCCATCACCATCCGAGGAAAAAGGCTCCCACTGTCCACCCTATCTAATCCTCTGATCATCTTGTATGTCTCTATCAAGTCACCTCTTAACCACCTTCTCTCTAACGAAAACAGCCTCAAAACCCTCAGCCTTTCCTCATAAGACCTTCCCTCCATACCAGGCAACATCTTGGTAAATCTCCTCTGCACCCTTTCCAATGCTTCCACATCCTTCCTATAATGCGGTGACCAGAACTATATGCAATACTCCAAGTGCGGCCGCACCAGAGTTTTGTACAGCTGCAACATGACCTCATGGCTCCGAAACTCAATCCCTCTACCAATAAAACCTAACATACCGTACGCCTTCTTAACAACGCTATCAACCTGGGTGGCAACTTTCAGTGATCTATGCACATGGACACCGAGATCTTTCTGCTCGTCCACACTACCAAGAATCTTAACATTAGCCCAGTACTCTGTATTCCTGTTACTCCTTCCAAAGTGAATCACCTCACACTTTTCCGCATTAAACTCCATTTGCCACCTCTCAGCCCAGCTCTGCAGCTTATCTATGTCCCTCTGTAACCTGCAACATCCTTCCGCACTATCCACAACTCCACCGACTTTGGTGTCATCCGCAAATTTACTAACCCATCCTCCTACGCCCTCATCCAGGTCATTTATAAAAATGACAAACAGCAGTGGCCCCAAAACAGATCCTTGAGGTACACCACTAGTAACTGAACTCCAGGATGAACATTTCCCATCAACCACCACCCTCTGTCTTCTTACAGCTAGCCAATTTCTGATCCAAACCGCTAAATCACCCTCAATCCCATGCCTCCGTATTTTCTGCAATAGCCTACCATGGGGAACCTTATCAAACGCTTTACTGAAATCCAAATACACCACATCAACCACTTTACCCTCATCCACTTGTTTGGTCACCTTCTCGAAGAACTCAATGAGGTTTGTGAGGCACGACCTACCCTTCACAAAACCGTGTTGACTATCCCTAATCAAATTATTCCTTTCTAGATGATTATAAATCCTATCTCTTATAATCCTTTCCAACACTTTACCCACAACCGAAGTAAGGCTCACTGGTCTATAATTACCAGGGTTGTCTCTACTCCCCTTCTTGAACAAGGGGACAACATTTGCTAGTCTCCAGTCTTCTGGCACTATTCCTGAAGACAATGACGACATAAAGATCAAAGCCAAAGGCTCTGCAATCTTACAGCACAAAAATGGACCATTTGGTCCAAGCAGGCGTGGGCGACATGGTGGCTCAGTGGTTAGCACTGCTGCTTCACAGCGCCAGGGACCCAGGTTCAATTCCAGCCTCGGGCAACTGTCTGTATGGAATTTGCACATTCTCCCTTTGTCTGCGTGGGTTCCATTTGGGTGCATCCGCTGAGGTTACCATTGAAGGATTCTCCTTCTCAACCTCTCCTGTCACCTAAGGTGTGGTGACCCTAAGGTTAAACCAGCACCAGTCATCTCTCTCTAATGAGAGAGCAGCCCTAAGATGTGGTAAGACTTTGGCAATTTTACCTTTTATTTACGGCCCTAGCTTTGGGTTCACCCACAAACGGAAACACATTCTTTACCCTACACTGCAACTCCTTTTACGATAAGCAGCTCTATTAGGTCACCTTTCAGCCTTCTCTTTTCTTGGGTCTAATCAATCATTAATAATCAAAAATTCAAACCGCTGCAAGCTGTATCATCATAAAGAAATTGTTTATATCTAAAACCCTTGAATTCTAAAAGTAAAAGCTCTAAGCTAACTCCAAACAAAAATACAGATAAACAAAACAAGCTAAACATTATACTGTAAAGGGAATGGCAATGTTGCAAAAAAATGTAGACAAAAGTCTGCAGCATTTGGGGTATAATTAGAATCACTCAGCACAGGAGGTGGTGAGTTAGTCCATCATGCCTTTGTTGGGTTTTGAAGCAGTACCAAGTTAATTCGTCTGCCATGCTCTTTCCCAATGTTTTTTTAAAATTTTTGTTGTTCAAGTATTCATCAAATTCCAGATTATAACAACTTGTTACATATAGAAATTCTCATCTGTGTGCACTGTCCAGAACTCTGTCCAGAGGTTTAATCAGTCATTTGGAAAGCCAGTAAACATTATCAAAAAATGATATTTCCAGGTCTGAGAGGGAGAAAGTACAGAGTGGGATGAGAGCCCACAGTGGTATAATGGGCTGAATGGCTTGCTCCTGTGCTATATTATTGTACAATTCTAAAGAGATTAAGACCAAAAATGCTGCTTTACAACTCTCAAGATGTTCCAGGCTGAGGAGAAACACAAGACTGAGATGCATGATGGGGCTGGAGACTAGGACAGAGAATCTGGGATTGCAACCAAAATGTTTTATGCATGATTTTCAAGGAAAGGAAAGATTATTCAATGACAATGTGCATTCACATAGTCTAGTAAAAATGTAGTAAATCATTGCAGGTACTTTCAGAAGCACTAACAAAATTTGACACCAGAGCACACAAGGAGATATTAGGAGCACTGGGCAGAATGACATGACAGTCCGATAAAACACTGCTTGTGCTGGGGACAAAAATCAGAGACAATAAAATGGAAATGGGAACATTTTATTTATCCAGGGCAAACCATACATTAAATTAGCCCACTCTTGTCAAATAAATAACTATCCCAGTCTTGATGTTTGCCCAGAAACACCACATGCAAATTTAGTGTAGAACTGTGGGTGTGAAGCTACTTAAGAAGTCACCATTATTCAGATATAGCAAGAACTGCAGATGCTGGAGTCAGCCTGAAGCGAAACATCAACTTTCCTGCTCCTCTGATGCAGCCCACCATTATTTAGATAACTGTTCCACCTTGTAAGAATAAAATTGAGACACCCACCAAGCAGTTGAGAAATCAATACCTATTGTATCTTCTCCACCATAGGCAACTGAAGGCACATCTGCCAATGAATCAAATATCAATTGTGTTTAATTACATGCAGCATGAGGGCATCAACTGGAGTTTATCTGAGCTTAAAGAGGACCCTGGTGGTACAGTGGTAATGTATCTACCCCTGGACAAGGAGGTCCGAGTTCAAAATCCGCCTATTCTAAAGATGTGTAATAACATCTCTGATCAGGTTAATTAGAAAACGAATTTGAACTTAAAGAGGTCTTTGATGGCACAGTGGTAGTGTCCATTCTTCTGGGCCAGGAGGCCTGGGCTCAAGTCCCACTTTCTCCAGAGGTGTGTAATAAGATTTTTGATAAGTTTGATTTGAAAATATATTGAGCACAAAGAAAAATCTTGAGGTACAGTGGCAGTGTCCCTATCTCTGTAATCTTTTACAATTAAATGTCTCTCTGCCTCCCTTTCCTATTCAAATCCTATTTGATACTACACCAATAACGTACCTTGGGACATTTTATTAAATTATAAAGATGCTGCATAAACACAAGTGTTGTTGCTGTGAATGGGGGTAGGTTCATATTGTCTGAAATCTCAGATTTGGGATTTAAGAAATTAATTCCACACACAAAAAAAAAGAGCTTTTACCTCCAGGAACTGGCGCAGCCTGATCACAGCCCCAACCTGCCCAGTGCCTGTAACTGCTTCAATCCTACAGAAAGTGAAATAGGTCAAGTAAACACATTTGTTTTTAAAGAAATTATATAAACACAGATTAAAGTACATCTTGTGAACAGCTGTGATAAAACAGAACTGAATTGCATAAAGAATATGACATTTTGGACTACTGAAAATGAGTGAAGTATCTTTTTGGCTGCTTTATGGAAATATAAAAACCAGGATCTAATCTTTGACTTCAAATCTATCTTCCCAAACTTTCACACATCCCTTAATTCCCTTAGTATCCCAAAAAATATCAACATCTGTCTTGAATATACACAATAATAGAGCACCCACAACCTCTGGGACAAAGATTCACAATCCTGAGTGAAGAAATTTCTCACCTTAGTCCTAAAGTGCTAATTACTTACACTGACATTGTAATTCTTTGTTCTAGATACAACAATCTGGAAGAAACTTTAAGTGTTTCAATTAGATCACCTCTCATTTTCTTACAAAGGCCAGTAAATGTAGAGTACTTTACTCAATCTCACTCAACAGGACAATTCCCCCACCAATCAGTTCAAATCAGTACACCCTTTGTTAGGTAAGGAGATCAAAGATTTAGAACAGGCCAGTGGAGTACCACAGTCTGAGAAGCTGCTAAGCCAACAGAAGGAAATGACTTACATGCTTGTGGTACTGTTCATGGCTTCAGGACATTGCAGCGCTTCACAGCCTTCAAAGCATGTTTGAAGTCTATGTCACTGGTGTAATAATGGAAACATGGCAGCCATTTTGCACAAGGCAAGCTCTCACAAGCAGCAAAATGATAATGACCAAATAATCTCCTTTTTCATTATGCTGTTTGAAGGATGAATATTAACCAGAACACCAGGATAACTGCTGTGCTCTTTCAACCAATTTAAGTCAGCTTGAGATTGTGAAAGGGGCTATAGAAGTGCTTTTTCTTAATATCAGTAACTCAAATTGTCTGCAAATTAAAGGCAAAGTGGAATAAACTGTAAATATGGCCACATAATAAGACACTGAGTACATCTTTGTGTGGCCCATGATAGGCCTTCTGCATGTCATAGGGGTCTAAGTAAGGAGGGACCTCACCCATAACCAGTGGAATAGCTAAATTGCTTAGAAAAGATGCGACAGACAAATAGTCTTTTCTTTGCTTTAACCATTCTGTGATTCCTTGATATTGAGATTTTGTTACCTGGGAAAGTAGTCGTTCTTGATCAGGATGATCATCTTCCAGAACTGGTTCTGGTACTTCTTCATCAAGGCATTGCCACAAACCTGTTAGAGAAGGGAATAATGACAGACAGCGAAGGGTTCAGCAAAACATGGTTTCTCAAAGAAATATATAAGTTTACATAGCTCAGTTAAAATCATCTGAGTAATCATTACTATGTCATTTCTTTAACAATCATCCAATTAGTCCCACTCTCCTGGTCTAACCCCATAGTTCTGCATTTTTTTTTAACCTTTTCTTATTTTAAAGGCAAACATAAAATGTCTGTCCCTCATGGAATGCAATTGGCCAAACTACTCGACATTAAGCAAAACACAATTGATTTGAACACTCTAGATAAAATACAACAAAAGAAAGAGAAATTCAGAATAACTTAACTCTATTGGAAAACTCAACAGAATAATAGATACAGTAACTATTACTAATTAACTGTTCCAATACAGTAACACTCCATAAACACACCCCTTAGCAAAAAAGACAAATTCAGACACAGATTCTCACTTGCGGTTCTCCAATCCAGGAGGAAAAACATCAAGAAAACATTCAGAGAGAGTAGCAGCCAGGAGATATTCACTGAAGCTTCCAACTCTGGAGACCCCAATAGCTTCTGATTAAAGCTAAACCTAAAAACCAGAAAGCCTGGTCTGATTGAGCTGGCCACACCCAGTCCACTTCCATTGTTCCAATTAAAAAAAAAACTCCAAGGCCTCACAAGTTATTTACTTTGCACAGACAGCTCGTAACCTCTGCCTTACGACCCCTCTTCAAAAATACCAGGACAAAATAACCTCTTCAAAACCACAGCATTGTCAAATATCCTATTTACTTTTGAAACTGCTTCCACAAGGCTCTCAGGCAGTGCATTCCAGATCTCAACGACTCACTGTATAGATGAAAAAGTTCTCAGCTAACTATTAACTCTTACCAAAATACCTGAAATCTATGTTCTCTAGTTTAACAATACTGCTGCTAGCAAGAAACTGTTTCTCCCTATTAACCCCATCAAAGCCCTCATGATTTTGAATATCTCTATTCAATCGCCTCTTAACTATCTCTGCTTTGACATTCCAGACCCGATACCATTCCAGGAAATCTCCTCTACACTCTTCAGAAGGTCTTAACATCCTGTGTCAACGGTTTCACTTAACTTCCTTGCTTTCGAACACACAATTCACTGCAGATAGTTTCCATTTATTAAGATATTATTTTCACAATTCCCAAGGCTATATAAAATAAACACACAAAAAAAAGGCACAAGGGATTTTGAAGACTTGGGGTCAGGTTTAAACGGGAATCAAAATCCAATTGATGGTCAGTCCTATATTTTTACAAAAAAAACTTTCATCTCTACTTTAAATTTCCTTCTGTTTAATATTTCCAGTATGTTGAATTTTGAAGTCCATTTACTGAGTGCTAAGTAGTACATAAAATATTGGTCATTATTTACAGAATTGTATTGCAAAGCCTCCCCCCGTTCCAAATCAAAGTTAAAATATGTAACAAATGATAACATGATAAAGTGACCAACCATCTGAATCTTGTTTGTTGCAAACACCACCTCCATCATGATCCAGACAACAACTCACTGATAATAGCAGAATGAGAAAAGTTCTAGCATCAAAATTTGAACCAATGATATGTTTCAATAGATTTATGTAAGTATGCCACTTTAATTTGCAAAGCATAATTTTCATGCCAAAGAATAAGACTCCCTTTGCAAAACAAGGTATGAAACACAACAATCAGCCCAAGTATGATTGGAGTCAACATCAATAACATGCACTCATATAGCACCTTTAACGTAGCAAATCAGCCCAAGCTGCTACACGAAATGGCACCATCGAGTTGTATCCAATCTGAAATATAAAATGGTTAAGCAAGGTGGATGAAGGGAGTGTAAAACAGAAAAGTTTTGATTTTGAATGTGGGGAGAAAAATAGCAAAAGGGGTTTAGGAAGAGAATTAATTCCAGTGAAGGCTATGCCATTAGTTGTAGATTGAGACAGGGCAGCAGGGTGTGGGAAGAGAGTATTCTTATCCAAGGTGCAAAAGTAGAGGTTACAGGGTTGCAGAGTTAAGGTACAGCAAGGTCTTTTAACCAGGAATAAGGAGAATAACATGAACTTTCAGAGGCATGGGAAGGCAGTGAAGCTTAGCAAGAGATTGCTGTTAACAGCATGTAGAAAACCACAAGACACAGAAGCAGAAGGAAGGCAGTCAGCCTATCAAGACTGATCTGAAAACTTTCCTGCCTTTTCCCCATAATCAGTGAGAAAAATCAAGGTTAAAAATCTTGTCAATCTCAGCTTTGAGTACTTTTAACAACCAAGCCTCTACAGCCATCTGCAAGAAATAATTTCACAAATTCACTACCCTCAGTCAACCACATTGCTGTGCGTTTGGAGTCACAAGTGGGCCAGATTTCTCATCAAAAGTCCTCATGATTTGGGATCAGGTTTAAACGGGAATCAAAATCCAATTGATGGTCAGTCCTATACTTTTACAAAAAAAACTTTCATCTCTACTTTAAACTTTCTTCGGTTTAATATGGCAGATTTCTTTCCTGAAGGACATTAGTGAACTAGGCGGGTTTTTCCAACAATTGACAACAGTTTCACGATCACCATTAGATCCTTAATTCCAGGTTTGTAGCCTGAATTCAAATTCCTCCTGTGATGGTGGCATTTGAACCCAAGTCCCTGGAACAACACCTTGGTCTCTGCATTAACAGTCTAGCAATAATATGATCATGCCATCCATCGACTGCGATTCTGAAATGCCCCCCTTTATCTCAACTCTGTTTATTAGTTAGCCAATTTTCTGTCCACCCTAAAATACCACAACCAACACCATGGGTTCTTATCTTATTTTGTCTAATGTGTGTTACCTTATCAAATGCCTTCTATAAATCTATACATATTACATCTACTGGTTACTATTAATGATCCTCCTTTCTATCTCAGTCAGGTATGATTTTCCCTTCGGGAAGTCATGATGACTCAATGTAGAAGGTGGCGGCTTAGTGGCATCATTGTTACACTCTACAGCATTAATCCAGAAACTCAGCTAATGTTCTGGGGACTCGGGTTCAAATCCTGCCATGGCAGAAGGTGGAATTTGATTTCAATAATAAAAATAATCTGTAATTAAGAATCTACTAAGGACCATGAAACCACTGCTGATTGTTAGAAAAACCCAGTTGGCTCACTAATGTCCTCCAGGGAAGGAAATCTGCCATCCTCACCTGATCTGGCCTATATGTGGGTCCAGACACACGGCAATGTGGTTGACTCTTAACTGCCCTCTGAAATGGCCTAGCAAGTCACTTGTATAAATCACTACGAAGTCTCAACAAGGCAATGAAACTGGACAGACCACCTAGCATTGCTCTAGCATCTGAAAAGACAATGGCAGAAACAACCCTGTCAATGCAAACCTCCTTACTAACATCTGGGCACTAGTGCCAAAATTGCAAGGTTTGATTCTCATAGATCATAGAATCCCTACAGTGTGGAAACAGGCCATTTGGCCCAACAGGTCCACACCACCCCTCCAAAGAGCATCCCACCCAGACCCATTCCCCTACCCTTTCCCTGTAACCAGGCATTTCCCATGTCTAATCCGCCTAACTTATACATCCCTGGACACTACAGGCAATTTAGCATGGCTAATCCACCTAACCCACACGTCTTCGGACTGTGGGAGGAAACTGGAGCATCCGGAGGAAACCCATGCAGACACGGGGAGAATGTGCAAACGCCACACAGTCAGTCGCCCAAGGGCGGAATCGAACCCGGGTCCCTAGCGCTGTGAGGCAGCAGTGCTCACCACTGAGCCACCTTGCTGCCCAAATTCTGTAAGCATGACTATGTCCCAGACACAATCATTACCATCCCTGTTTATGTCGTGTGCCAGGACATGTGGCAGGACAGACCCAACAGTGATGGCAGTGCAATGGTTTACAGTCGGGAGACAGGAGTCCTCAACATTGACTCCGGACCCCAGGAAATCTCATGGTTTTAAGTGAAACATTGGCAAGGAAACCTCCTGCTAATTACCGTGTACTGTTTTCCAACAGGTGATGAATCAGCACTCCTCCATGCTTGACAACATTTGGAGGAAGCACCAAGGATGCAAAATGTACTGTGGATGGAGGATTTTGATGTCCACCAAAAGCGGCTCGGCAGTAGCACTACTGATCGAGTTGGTGGGGTCCCAAAGGACAAAGCCGCTAGAGAGTCTGTGGTGACTGAACCAGCAAGATGGAAAAACATATTTGATCTTATCCTCACTGCAGACGCACCTGCCCATGATAGTATAAGAGCAGCCACTGCACTGTCCTTGTGGAGATGAAGACCCACCTTCACATTGAGAATACATTGTGTTGTGTGGCACTATCATTCTGCTAAATGGGACAGATTCGAATTTTTCTAGCAATTCCAGACTGCATATCCATGAGGCCCTGTGGGCCATCAACAGCAGCAGAATTATACTCCAGCACAATTTGCAACCCCATGGCCTGGCATATACCCATCTCAATAATTACCACCATGCCAGAGATTTGGTTCAATGGAGTGGGCAGGAGGGCATGCCAGGAGCAGCACCAGGCATACCTATAAAATGTGTCAACCAAAGCTACCAAACAGGACTATTTGCTTGCCAAACAGCATAAGCAGCAAGTGATAAACAAAATTAAGCAACCCCACAATGAATGGATCAGATCCGAGCTCTGTAACCCTGCCACATCCAGTCTTGAATGGTGGTGGGCAATTAAATAACTCACTGGAGGAAGCAGCTCCACAAAAATCCCCATCCTCAGGTGATGGAAGAGTCCGATACATCAGTGCAAAAGATGAGGTTGAAGCATTCACAGCAATCTTCAGCCAGAAGTGCCAAGTGGATGATCCATCTTGGCCTCCTCCAGTGGTTCCCAGCATGATAGATGCGAGTCTTCAGCCAATGCAATTCACTCCACGTGATATCAAGAAACGGTTGGAGGCTATGGGCCCTGACAACATTCTGCCAATGGTACTGAAGACTTGTCAACCAGAACTTTCCACTCCCCTAGCCATGCTCTTCCAGTAAACTTACAACATTGGTATCTACCCGCCAATGTGGAAATTTATCCAGGTATGTCCTGTACACAAAAAAGCAGGGAAAATCCAAGCTGGCCAATTACAGCCCCGTCAGTCCACTCCTGATCATCAGAAAAGTGATCGAAGCTGTCATCAACAGCTCTATCGAGCAGCACCTGTTCAGCAATAATCTGCTCAGTGATGCCCAGTTTGGGTTCCGCCAGGGCCACTCAACTCCTGACCTCATTATAGCCTCGTCTCAAACATGGACAGCTGAAATACAGCTCTTTTGTCTGAGGTGAGAGTGACTGCCCTAAATATCAAGGCTGCATTCAACCACAGGAGTTTCAGGGAGCCCTAGCAAAAGTGGAATCAATGGGTATTTAGGAAGGGGCAAATTCTTCACTGGCACATAGGAAGACAGTTATTGGAGGCCAGGCATCTCAGCTCCAGTACAACGCTGCAGGAGTTCCTCAGGATCATGATGTGGCCCAACTATCTTCAGCTGCTTCAGCAATGACCTTCCGTCCATCATAGGGTCAGAAGTGGGGATGTTCACTGATGATTGCACAATATTGAGCACCATTCGCAACTCCTCAGATACTGAAGCAGTCCATGTTCAAATGCAACAAGAGCTGGAGAATATCCAGGCTTGGGTTGACAAGTGGCAAAATAATATTCATGCCACACAAATGCCAGGCAATGAATGTCTCCATTAAGATACAACATAACACTGCCCCTTAACATTCAACGGTTACTATCACTGAATTCCGCCCCCCACTGTTAACGTTGCTGGTCAGAGACTAGGAACACCGCACCGAGTAACTTACTTCTTGACTCGCCAAAGCTTGTCCACCATCTACACGGCACAAGCCAGCAGTGTGTGCCCTTATATGTTATGATCTGCCTGTGCTACACGCAAAACAAAACTTTTCACTGTAGTTAGGTACATGTGACAACAATAAATCAAATCAAAATCAAGTCACTTGCCTGGATGAGTGCAACTTCAACAACATACAAGCAGCATGACACCATCCAGGATAATGCAGTCTACTTGACTGGCATCGCATCCACATATGCTTGGTAGAAGTGGTGTTTACTATCTATAAGATGCACTGCAGAAATTCAGCAAAGATCCTCAGACAGCACCTTCCAATCACACGACCACTTCCATCTAGAAGGACAAGGGCAGCAGATACACAGGAACCCCACTGCCCACAAGATCCCCTCCATGTCACTCACCATCCTCACTTGGAAATATGTCACTGTTTTTTCACTGATGCTGGGTCAAAATACTGGAATTCTCTCCCTAAGGGCATGGTGTGTCAACCAACAGCAAATGGACTGCAGCAGTTCAAGAAGGTAGCTCACCACCACCTTCTCAAGGGCCATGAGGGATGGATGATAAATGCTGGCCAGCCAGCAACCACGTCCCATGAACAAATTAAAAAAAAATACATGAATGTGAATCAGAAATGGTAATGTGGCACTAATGTCACTACTCTAGATACTTAGGCTCATGCTCCAGAGACGTAATGTAAAAACTCACCTCAGCTGGTGAAATTAAGTTTCAGTAAGAATGACAATGAAACAAACATTAATTGACATAAAAACCTTATCCGGTTAATTCATGATCTTTAGGCAAGAAAACCTGCTTTTCTTACCCAGTCTGCATGTGACTCCAGACCTACAGCAATGTGTTTAACTCTTAACTACCATCTGAAATGGCCTAGCAAGCAACTCCATTGTAGTACTTAAAGATGGGCAAAAGATCAGCCTTGCCAGTGACAAAAATATCCCAAAGAATTTTTCAACAAGTTAACTTGCTGAATTTCAGAGACACTTAAAAATAGTAGATACAGAGTAAAGTGTCAAAGGGAGGACACCAGAGAATGACAGGGCATTGCAAACAGCACTATACCTCTAAGAAGTCATACAGCAGTGTTGCGGTAATGTCAGCCAATGGTTCCATGTTCAACATCTGAGCCAGCCAGTGCCAAGCGTGATTCAGCCCATGAGGATGCTCCTAAGCAAAGAAGAAACAATGATTAAATAGTGATCACGTGCCAACTTCAATCATTTGAAAGGCTCAAAAAAAAAAAAAAAATACTGACTAGGCTATGGCTCTTTGAAATAAGGTTGAACTGTAAAGTAATTAGGAACATAAAGGTTTACAAAGCAAAAGCTCATGATAGCATTGCAGGGAAGCTATTCATGTAATGATGTCCAGGGTGGGACACAAAGGGACAGTGTATAAACATGAAAAAGCAGCATATAGAGTCAAATTACAGAGAAAAATAGGCACAATTAATGTCTCTTAAATGCAAGTAGTAATTAGAATATAATATATGAATGAACAGTACACAGAGGTTAATGGCTACAATCTTATATCCATTACAGAGACATTGTTACAAGGAGATCAAAGCTGGGTATGTGAGTTTTTGAAAGGACAAGCAAGAAGGAAAAGGTGGTGGGGTAGCTTTGTTAATAATGGGCAGAATGCGTACAATAGAAGGAAATTTTCTTAGATCCAAACAACAAATGGGGAGACAACACTGGCAGGAATAGTCCTCAGGCCCCTAACAGTAACTACATTGTAGGACAGAGAATAAATCAGGAGATGATGAGGGACGCAAAAAAAAAGCTGTACATTAATCATGTGAGACTTCAAACTTCATAACTTCATGTAGATTGGGAAAGTCAGACTGATACATGTAGCCACAAGGAGCAATTTATAGTATATTTGGGATAGTTTCCTAGAAAAATATGTTGCAAATCCAACCAAGGTCAGGCTATTTTAATCCTGGTAATATGTAATAAAGCAGGGTTTCATAAATGATCGCAGAGTAAATATTCCCCACGAAAACAGTGACCATAACATGATTAAAACTTAGCATTCAGTTTGAGAGGGAGAAACTTTAATCAGAAACAACTGTACTCAACTTAAATAAGAATAATTACAAAGGAACAAGGGCAGAGTTGGCTGGTATGAACTTGAAAAGAAATCCAGCAAAGATGGTTGAGGAACAGTGCCAGATGTTTATGATATATCCCAATGAGAAAGAGGATTCTGCTAAGGGGATAAGATAACCATGGTAAACCAAGAAAATTAAGGATGGTATCAAATTGAAAGAAAAGTAAACATACAATGTAGCAAATTCAGTATTAAACCAGAAGATTGGAAAAGTTTTAAAGATAAATGATGACCAAACAAATTACAGAAGGGGTGAAAATCAATCATAAGGGCAAATTAACAAGTTACATAAAAATAGATACCAAGAGCTTCTTTAAAAATGTAAAAAGGAAAGACAGGCCAAAGTTAACATAGGCCCCTTAGAGAATCAGACTGGGAAAAAATTGATGGGGACTCAGGAAAAAGCAGATGGGTCAAATAAATAATTTGCATCAATCTTCACAGTAAAGGACATTAAAGCATTCCAAAAATGCTAAACCAAGGGCAAAGGGAGGGTAGGAAATAAATGCAATAACTATCACGGAAAAAAGTGTCAGGGAAACTAATAGAGCCAATGACCAATAATTCCCCTGGACCTAATGGGTTGCATCCTAGGATATTGAAGGAAGGAGCTACAGAGACAGTGATTGCAGTGGTTGCACTGGTAGCAATCTTCCCAACATCTTTAATTTCTGGAAAAGTCCCAGGTGATTGGAAAACTGCCAATGTAACACCCTTATTCAAAAAGGCACAGGAGACAAAGCAAACAGCAAATGAAGGCTATGAACTTAATGTCTGTCACTGATAAAATGCTACAGTCTATTTTAAAGAATACAATACCAGGGCATTTAGAAACAAAATATAATCAAGCAGAGTCAGCATGACTTCACGAATGGGAAATCATGCCTGACAAATTTATTACAATTCTTTAAGAAGGGTAACAAACAGAATAGATAAAGGGGAATCAGCAGGAACCAGTTGGAATCCAAAAGGCATTCAATAAGGTACTACACACAAGGCTACTAATAAGAACCCATGGTGTTGGGGAAAGTAAATTAGCATGCTTGGGAGATTGGCTAAATAATAGCAGACAGCATCTTGGGATAAGGGGGGTATTTTCAGGATGGTAACTTGCAACTAGTACTAAAGGGATCAGTGCTGGGCCACAATTAGTTCTAAATATACTAATAACTTGAATGAGGAAGGTGAATGCATTATCGCCAAGTTTACAGATGACACAAAAATAAGTTCTAATGCAAATAGGGAGGATACCACAGCGTCTATAGAAAGATTATAGACAGGTTGATTGGGCAAAGATTCCTAGGAGGCTTGACAGGGTGGGTGCTGAGAGATTTGTTTCCACATGTTGGAGCGTCCCGGACCAGAGTGCTTAGCCTTAGAATAAGGGGTGACCCATTCAAGTCAGAGATGAGGAGGAACTTCTTCTCTCAGGAGTGTAGTGAATCTTTGTGGAATTCTTTACTACAGAGATAACTAGGTTGGGTCATTAAGTATATTCAAGACTGATCACAGCAAGGGAATCAAGGGGAATGGGGGAAAAAGTAGGAAAATGGAATGGAAGATTATCAGATCAGCCGTGATTTCATTGAATGGCAGCGGAGACTTGAGGGGCAAAATAGCCTACCTCTGTGGCCTTCACTTGTAGCAATGCTTGAGACAAACAGCATAAACATCTTTCAGGTGGAAAGAAATTAAGTACCATGGAGAAAGGAATATACCAATAGAGTTTGAAGAGATGGGTTGAGGTGCATGTGGAGGAAAATACCAGTTAAAAAAATTTCGTAATGTGGCCTGTTTTGGGCTGTCCACTCTATGCAATTTATCAAGTATCACATCATGAAATTTCACACTTTTTAAAAAAATAGTGGCAGGGAGGCACTGAGCAGACTAATTGAAGTAGGGAAGCAAATTAATTATGTGGCAGATGTGGAAGGATAGGTCAATCCCTCAGAAAGCAAGAACATCTTCTTAATCTGGAAAAAAGAACACGGCACTAATATAAATCTCAATACAGAGTCATTAAACTTGTTATTTTATCCATATTAAGAGCTGTTGTGTGTGGAGACAAACATAAGTCACTGTATCAATAATCCTGATTCCATTCCAGCCCTTCCCAATAGTCCAAGTAGCCAAAACAAGATCAGATAATTAAACAAAATAACACATTTGCAAACAGTTTATCGGCAGTAAAATGATACCACAAGTGAAGATTATATCTATCAGAAAAAGATTGAATAGGTTACTTTCTCTAAAAAGACTGAAAGAGTGACCTAAGCTGGCCTTACCAGAAACGCTCACATTCCATGAAAGAATAAGAAAATATCTTTAAGGTTGTGAAAGGGTTCAAAAGAGTAGACGTAAAGATGTTTCCATTCACTAGGTAAACCAGAACTAAGGGCCATCAATGTAAAACAAAAAAAAACCCAATAAGGAAATTCACCAGAAATGCTTTACCCAGAGAGTGGTGAGAATGTGAAACACGCTACCATACAGTAGCGGAGACAAATGGCATAGCTGCATTTTAGGGGATGCTGGACAAACATGAAAAGGGAATAGAATGATGTGTTGGTATGCAGAGAAGAAGAACAGGAGGTACAAAATGGGAGGTGTAGGCCATTCAGCTTGAGTCTGTGCTGTTATTCAATAAGACCATAGCTAGTTGTGGCTTTAACTCCACCCTTCCTGCCCTCCATAAGCTTCAGCTTCTACGTCAATCAAATATCTGTCCAACTCAGCCTTGAAAATATTTAATGACCCAACCTCCACTGCTCTCTCAGGAAGAGAATTTCATAGTTTCTTTCAGGATTATTAGCCTACTTCCTCAGCTCAGTATTAAATCCCTATTTTTAAGCAGACGTCCTCAGATCTAGATTCCACACTAGGGCAAACATACTTTCAACATCAACCCTATGAAGCTCCCTCAGGATCTTATATGTTTCAAAAAGACCATCCCTCATTCTTTAAAAACCAACTAGTACAGCCCCAAAATCACTCAAATATAAACTTTGTATCCCATTGTAACTCAATGCATGTCAGGTTGGCTCAGATTTGGACGGCACTAGCTTGCGTTTGAGAAAATGAAATGTAGCATTTAGTTACTGCACATACTGCTTGCTTTGATCCATATGGCCATCTTAACAGTATAATTGCTGCATACAGACGAATCATGCCAGACATCCGCTTCAGAAAGTTGTCCTGCTGCTCAACACCATTGTCCAGCACTCGATACCCCAGTAACCTACAGGAGAAAAAGGATCAGACTTTAATTGCACACTAAGAGTAGGTATCCAAATCTCCCATGCCTTTTCTCACTACTGCATGATGCATAAAGAATAGGAACACAAAGTCAAATTATCCCACATCAAACCCATGCTTCTAGTGGAATGAGGATGAATCAAAGTAAACTGCCTATATGAACAAATACAAAAAAAGTTAACTTTGGACAGAAAGACAAGACCCCAAATCACATGGACAAGATAAAGTGAAAAAAAAAATTGACCTTTGGTTAAATCATGAAAATAGGATTATTTAGCGCTGATATAGGACCATTCAGCCCATTAATTCTGTTCTGCCATTTACCTGAAATTCTACAAACAATTCTGAAACAAGTGGGGGAATTATGGTACCATTCCAGGAAGCTGGGCCCAAGAAATGGCCTCCTTTATTAATCTTCTCATTTTAAGATGAAAAACCAGAAGAGAGCGAGGAAAAAAACAAAATTTAAGAAGAAACTGGAAGAAGGCTACAAGTAAATACAGAATGTGAAATAAATGTCACATTTGTTATAGCCAGAAACTATTCATTCTCAGAGCAAACTGGTGAACAAAATCACAGCCAATCAATGCCTGAACTTCCTCAGGGTCATGACCACTTGCAACCTGTGAACTACTAAAAAAAATTACACAGGGAAGTCAAATGAAAAAAAAAAAGTATTTTCTTCTCTGAAGTAAAACAACTCTGCATAGAAAGAGTCAAAGCAGAAAACTGGCAATTTTGAGAAGCATCTTCCAATTGGCAGATTTGAAATACCAGATTGGCTTCAACTAATAGCTACCTGGTAGATAGAAACAGACATCAGATCAATTATGTTAGCAATTTTGAGGGTGTAATGCTGTTCACAGAATTCTACCTTTGGTATTCTTCTTTTGGTTGTCCGTCTTTCCATGAAGGGAAAAACGGTACTGCGTAGGGGCACTTTCGGTGCAAGTGGGCCAAGAAAAGATCTCCAACCTTCGGGTGAAACTCCCAGATGCCTGAAGCAACCACTGCTATTGGAAATGCAGCTTCATGGTGAGATGCCACTTCTTCCTCCCCTTGTTTCTGTGGGCAATAATGGAGAAAAACAGGGTTAAAAATCAAAACAGATGCTTTACACCTGCCTTTCCATTTGAGGCTGAGGACATTTTATACCTGCCTTGAACCTTTTAAATACAACATAGAAGGTGAACCCAATTTCTATAATCTTCAGATGGTCCAGGTCTCAAAGTAAACTCAATATACTTATTTAAAGGTGACGAATGGAGCCAAATCTGTTATAATTTGGAATGGAATGCCTGAAAGCAGACCATAAGCAGATTCATTAGTAACTTGTAAAAGAGAATTAGATAAATATTTGAAGGAAAACAATTTACAGGGAGATGGGAAAGAGCAAAGGTGTGGGATTGGAATGGGTAGCTCTATCTTGGAACTGATACAGACATATGGGTGGAACGTCCACTTTTTATGCTGCATCATATTAGGATACTATGAAACTGATGTTTTAATCTAATTTAGTATCATATATAGCAACTAGGTACAATAAAGATACATCACATCTCTCAAACTGTTTTAGATACAATGAATGATTTATTATTATCACATTGCCAATTTGCCTGCCATGCTGCACAAAGTATGATCCCATAAAACAGACAACTAAATTGGGATTGGCGGAATTGAGTGAGGAAAGAATGATTTTTTTTTCTGGTAGGGACTCCAAAGGGAGATGAGATGAAATGAGAGATTCAAATCCTGCTGAATAATTCAGATCACTGGAAGTATACAAGTAAGTTGCCTGTCCATTACTGGTAAAGACAATAAATTAAGATGAACCCTAAAAAGCAAGGAACAAAGAGTTAATTATTTTGCGGCTCAGCCGGTAACACACATGGAATCCACAATCTTTGAGCAAACTATGTGTCACTTCAAAAGCTTGAGCAAATGCTCAAAAGGACATTTCCAGTGCAGTGCTAAGAGAAAGCTGCACTGCCAGAGGAGCAGCCTTTCAAATGAGATATTAAATTGAAGTACAATCTGGCTTCTTAGTTAGATGGAGAAGATTTTACTGCACTATTTTGAGAGGAGCAGGTGAGTTCCCCTTGGTGTTCTGGCCAACGTTTATCCGTAAACTTTAAGAGAAAATCTGGTCATTTACCCCATTACTGTTTCTGGGAGCTTCCTATGTTCAGAATAACTTCCATATTTTCTGTACCACAACAATGAATGCACCTCAAAAATACTTCATTCACTCACCACAAATTTTTCTGCTAGTTTGTAACAGACAAAATCCTTCCCTTGTGGGTGTTGAGAAATTGCCACCATCTTCCCACCTGATGATATTTGTTTACCCAACAGCAGATTATTGATTTTTTCAAAGATTTCACGCAGGTGAGACCCTGAAGAGAAAAGCGTGGAGAAACAATTTTAATTACCTTTCGTACTTCAGACATGAATATACTAGAATTGAAGATCATTTACTATGTGCAGCATTTTCCTGAAGAGCCAAAATATTTTTTAAATATTAAAACCTATACAAGTCCAAGTTTTACCTTCACACTGCATTACTAAATTAGTTTTACTCTATTAATGAGGCCACCAATATTTTTGACAGCCCTCATTCTACAAGGTAAATACAGAGGATGATAGTCACTCAGTTGGAGAAGGACTTAGATCTTGTAATTAAATAGGTCAGTAGATGTCAGGTCTGCAATTTCAGATTTACACATCCATTGTGGTTCAGCAATTGTAACAGTAAGCTCTTAAATTTAGTCACTAATCTGCACTGAGTAAGGGCATCTCAGCCAGGGTACAAATAGGAGTACGAAACCTCCTCCCACTTCTGGAGAATGCAGGCCAGGTTTCTGATATAAACAGACCCCTCTTCCTACAAGGGGTGCACGTGCAAACTCCAGAGGGTAGCACAGACCAGCCTCAATTGTCTTTTTATGCCTTTCTCCTTTCAATCTTTGATCAGTAAAGATTATAAATATTCACCCAGAGGAAACTTCCATTTGAGCATAATGCAGAAAGGTGACTACCCCTTCTAGAACTACACGACTCCTGAAAGAAGTTGATACCTCCAAGAAACAAGGGATGCAAGAGGAGAAAATGAAAAGAGAAAATTACTATGAGATAATGAAACCAAAAGTGGACATGTGGTGAAGATGGCAGAAGGACTTCAGGGAAGTGACCAGTGAGAAGGAGGAAGAAGAATACTAAATACATAAATTATACCATTATTAAGTAGACAATTCAAGTCTCAGGGATGACCCTCACTAACCTGCGATGGAGGAGATCTGACCAACAGGAATGGTTGCAGCTTTTTGAAGGTCCATTTTAATCTTCTTCACCTAGAAATGGATGCACATGCAAGCAGTTTTATAAATATCTCATTATTAAATGGAAGGAAAGTTTTAAAAAATTATTGCGTTTGTTTGTAACCCGTCTTTCCCTTACATGGCAAGTCTACAAATAGTCTAGCAAACTGCTTTAGAGCATCCTATGCTTTAGGATGCCAATAATGATCAGATGAATTAGTTGGTAGGAAGTCTTCAAGTAGAAGCTTCAAGGCTATCCTGTGGAATGAGATGCCCTGGATACCCCTCCCCAACCCTCGGTTACCATCATCACACTATCCGTCTTGGAAGGTGAAAGCCTCCAATTCTCAAGAATTGGGGTAAACACTGCCATTTAAAGAAAGACACCCGTTTGCCCCTCAAAAGCAAACATGAATTCTAGTTCTACCATTTTTTCTATACAGGAATCCATGTCCCAACAATATCTGTGGTGTCTAGAGTTACCCGAATTATACTAGAGGTAAAACTGCTAATTTAGGGGAATAAGTTATTTAGAATAGACCTGTATTCCCTCAGGTATAGAAGATTAAGGTGTGATTTGTTTGAAGTGTTTAGGATGATTAAAAGAATTGATGATAGAGTAGAGAGAGGGGAAACTATTACCTCTTTGGGGTAGAGAGGGATTTGTAGGATGGGTGAGGGTGCAGAGCTGGTGGGCAAGGCTAGAACAAATAAATAAGCTTCAAATTAGAACTACTAGATTGCTGGAACAGAGATAGTAGGAACTGCAGATGCTGGAGAATCCGAGACAACAAGGTGCAGGGCTGGATGAACACAGCAGGCCAAGCAGCATCATCATAGGAGCATGCTGCTATGCTGCTGCTTGGCCTGCTGTGTTCATCCAGCCCTGCAC